GAAGGGATGAGAAAGAGAGAGAAAGAGAAAGAGAGAAACAGAGAGATTACAGAGAAGAGACTAACGAGTTACCCGACTAATTAGCCAATTTCGTTGCGTCGCGTTCACGGAAGATAAACGAATAATCCTGCGGATGGAAAAACTCGAAACTGCTTCCACTTTATCAGTTACTTATGCAAATTTACCCGTCAAACATTGCGCGCATGCATTCGGAGCAAGGTTGCCACGCTTGCTCCACCTTCAAAATTTTATTCTTGCCGTGGAAGAGGAAGTTGGCGATCGTAATTTCCAACTTTCGATAATTTCTTATTAAACGCTTCCGGTTGTGTGTTTACTCGTGGATAAGAGTACGTATTGTTGATAGTTTAAACGTGCTCGAGGAAGTATGGCACTTTGAAATAATTAGACGATAAATTCGGTTGAACGTGTTTATCTGCAAGGTGGTTTTTTTTTTTTTATTATCAATTGTTCTACATACGTGAGATTAGGATTCGTTACGCGATAATCTGCTGAAATAATTATTATATGGATTTATGTATCGTTTATATCAATGTTTTCTAGATTAATTTAGAAAACTATAATTTCGCGATTCATTATAATTTTTCTTATGATAAGAATTTTCAATAATATATTGAAAGCTACGTTGTAACTTTGTACGAATATTTTTTTTCTTCTATTTCGCTTTTTAGAAATCAAATTTTAATTCGATTTTGAATTTTGGTTTAATAAAATCATATTGCGTGCATACAACTAATTATACCATATTTCTGTATTTTAATAATTAATAATTTTAATAATAAATTGTTACTTTTAAATTTAGTTAATTGTAGTGTATGTATAAATTTCTATTATCCGCTGAGGAAAAAAAATAAATAAATAACATGCGAAAGTATCTAAGTTTATGGACAAACAAGGAATGAAATTTTATTGGTGTAACTTTTTGCTAAATAGGGTCGTTGATGTTTTGAGTTTTTTTTTCTTCCAACTATTTTACTTTTAAAGTAAAGTCTCAAATATTTTACCTTGAAGAATTACCTTGAAGAATTTTACCTTAAAGAATTAAAAGAACTGTGATAATGTTTAGAAGATATTTCACAATTTTTTAAATTTTTTTTTCAAAAATCTAGGATAATAGAAATAATTACAGTTAAGCATAACATATAATAACTTTAAATAACATAATCACACGAATAATTACCAATTCAACCTCTTTAAATGCAATTAAAACATTGAATAATTCTTTTTCTCTTGCATCATAATATTAAATTATACTTAATTGAAATATTATAGTTGAAATATAAATGAAATTTTTCATTTTTATTTTCAGTGAAGAATTAAATAAGGATTAAATAATAATAAAAATAATCTAAATACTCTCCACAATTGACAAATAAATTGCAAAATAAAAAATTTTTTTTAATCTTTATATATAAGAAATCTTTTCTCTCAGAACAAAAAAGATTTCTAGAAAGGTTTCTTTTGAACGATGTGAAAATAAAGTCGAAGGTCCGTAAAGGAGACGAAGAGGAAATCAAATACTTCGATCAATAAAATATTTTTATCGTCATCAGCAAAGAATGTAACGCATACTCTCTATGCAAGATAAAAGTCTACTATAAATAATAACGATAACTATAAATCTATAATTATAAATTATAACGATGTGAACTTATGACCACCGATAATTAAACAAGATACTTATAGAACGATAATCTTTCGTTTTTTATTTCAATACGAATTTCCTAACAATATTTACAAGCATCGATTTACAAATCTCCCTCATATTATATAATACATATCACCGAATTTTTTCCATTTCTTTCCAGCCCAACGAGATCGATAATTTAACAATCTTTTACTAATCTTCTACCCATATTTTCCCATAAATATATCCATAAATAAAAAATATATCAATCTAGCTATACGCATAAATTCTCCTCATCCACTACCTTCATCCTCGAGATCGATCTCCATCGTTACGAAAATCTCTTCGCTATACCTTCGCTATATATCCACCTATATCAACCTACATCCACGCATGATCGCTTCACCTCCACGCTCTCGCTTTATTAGAGGGCCCGCTCTCCAGAAAATGAAGCCCACTCCCGATCCTATCCTTCAGTCACGTTCGTCCCAAAACCGCGCCAGGATCGCCGATGACGCTAATCGATTCAGGGTCGAGGCGAACCCGTGGCAAACGTTTGTCTGTGCGTCCGTGCGTCTCGTAGAGCGTGGCAAACCTCACGAGAGAAGATCAATGGAAAAGAGGAGAAATCGGCGATACAGATACAGGTAACTCTGTGTGAACAATCGGCTGAGAGAGATGGAAAAGCGGCGCGATCGTAACTCCGTGCAACCGTGACGCGAGACATTAATCGCTGCCACGTGCTACCTATTTGTCTTCGGCACAGGCCACGTCTACCTACATACCGTGTTTCTATGGTTGCTCGATGTTTGAACGAAATCTTAACGAGGTTGTTTGTATCTGGTATACGAGTGGAGTTGTTGGACCACGGATTTCAGAGGTTTACGATCGCGGTATGAAGGAATTTTTAACGCTTCGTTTCGTGCTTTGGCAAGGTAATTATGAGACATTTCTTTGAAAATTTTAATCGTTTAAGTGGCGAGTATTATATAAATTTTGTATACTTTTAAATATACTTTTTATATTTGACTTGATTCAAATTTTCAAAAATTAATAGATATTTTTAAGGAAATTAAATCCTAAATTAAATTATATTTTATAAAGATATATATTAATAATCATTTTTATAAATAATAAGATATGAAAAATTGATTAATAGAAAATATATAGTGTTGTTCCTAATATTGGATGATCCTTAAGAAGAAATTCTTACTTAAATAGCAAATCCAATTTATGCCTGATTTATAACTTGAAGAATTTTTTAATTTCTAAGAGTAAGCATATTAGAATTTCCTTAATATATCATAAATCAACGTACGCTCATTAATAACTACAAACCATCGATGTTATCTTAAATTTTTTTCGAAAAGTAATCACTAGAAGACTTTTTCACTAATTATCTTTCTAATTATCTTTTTTCACTTAAGAATAATTTAACTGAATGAACAAAAAACCCAAGACTATCGTAGAACAAAGTTTATCGAGTTTCAACAGAAACACACATTCAATCAGTATATTTCAAAATTTTACTCTTATTTATATATTTATAAATTCAATAAAATTTAAAAATAAAGTTTATTTTTAGCAAAGAAGAATTTCTTATTTTTTCTTTTTTTTTTTTTTTTTTTTTTT